GAGAGGCACCGAGACAGAAGGAGGAGGGCGAGGGGCAAGGATAGAAGGGGAGGCCCATGTGAGGTGGGAATCTAGCACTCAAATAGTGGCCAATTGGTTCGCTAGCCATGCGAGACCCGGCAAGCAAGCGTGGGAAGGAAAGGGGGATTCACCTCGCCTCCGAGACCTCTGGTGAATAGCGCCCCCCCTCCCAGGAAGAAGCAGAGTCCAGGCCGTGGTTACGCGCGCACCTGGGCCCACGGGCGGGAGGGATGGAGAGGCTGGCCCCCTGGCGCCAAGTGGGCGTGCCGGGTTGCACATCTTTCGACGATCTGCGCAGACCCGGGGGATATAGACCCACTTGGCACTCTGACACCCGGCTGTCGGTGTGACAGCATACACACAGACACAGACACACACAGACACACACAGACACACACAGACACACACAGACACACACAGACACACACAGACACACACAGACACACACAGACACACACTAGCGTGCGCGTCCGCTCGTACAGACACGCACGTTGTCTCGCCTTTTCTCGTGGATTGTCCAGCTGCGGTGGGCACCGAGGCGCATCCTTCGGCCGCCGAGAGGGGAGGGCCTCTTGTTCGCTCGATCGAGAGTGGTGTCCGGCGGGGCCCGTCCCAGCCCCATAATGCAGGCGTGCCCTTTCATGCCGGTGTGACAGCCCCCCCCCCCGCCCCGCATCCATTTCACCATACTACCCCCTCGCCCTGCTTGTGCCTCCCGCGGATCGCTCCGGTACCCTATAAAAGGCACCGGGATGTGGCCCTTGTCAAGCCAGCGTCCATCTAGAGACTTCCCCACCTCCTCCAGGATCCACTGTGTGAGATTCTGCTGCGACCGAGCCTGTCTCTTCTCCCCCTTTCCTTCTCCCCCCTTCTCTGTTTCTCTCCTCCTTCCGGCATCCCCCCCCCTCCACTTCTCCCCATTCCCCTGTCATCCTCCTCCCAGCCCTAGCTCCCACAAGAAGCCATGTTTTCTCTCCTGAGAAATGCCTTCCTGCTCCTGATGCTGTCGCTGATTTGCGCACGCGCCGCGGAGACCACCATTCGCGTCAGCAGTACGACCCACAGCCGCACACGCATACGCGCACACGCACACACGCGCACACGCGCACGCACACGCGCACGCACACAAACCCGCTCTCGCCTCAAATCCTGCTCCTCGCGTGGAAACATCTCTAATTCAACTGCCGCACATCCCCCCCCCCCCCCCCACAGAGCTTCACATCGATGGTGATGTGCTTGCCGAGCGGTTCTCAGCCGCCACTGCCACAGGGCTGAGCTCATCCTTCCAGCTGGAGCTCAGCACCCCGCTGGTGCTGGGCGACAGCGAGGAGAAGCTCATCCTCGCGCTGGAGGCCGACGACGTACGTCTCAATAGGGGCACGAAAGCACCCCCGTATGCCGGCCCTTGGAGGACGCGCAAGTCCTAACGTGTCTCCCCCCCCCCCCCTCGCCATACCCGACCACGCAGTTTTCCACCCCCGACGTGCACATCATCGGCGCAGCCGAGAAGTACGCCACCAACACCGGAGTCGATGTCAAGTACTTCCGTGGCAAGATCCACCTTGGGTCCATGGCCGCCCCCTCGGTGGGCCACGCGGTCCTGGCCCAATCCGGGGACTTCCTGGTGCGTGGCCGTCCTCCGACCCCGCGCCGCCTAGTCCACAATGTCGCCCGAGTTAAGCATCCGTCTTTTTAGGTCCCGGCCATTAACTGTATGTCGTGCTCATTTGTTTCCATCCCCCGCGCCGGCCCGGCCCGGCCCGGCTCTCCTGGTTCTCTCCTCTCTCTCGCCGCCTACGCCCCCCCCCCCCCCCCCCCCTTGCCCCCCCGCGCCCGGCCCGGTCCCTCCGCGGACGGCGCGAACTGACATTCCCTCGCCCCAGCTGTGCGCACGGACGTGTCGCCTGCTCCCTTGTTGGCACGGTGGGGTGTCTCCGCCGCCGCCGCCGCCGCCGCCGGGTGCC